TTACCTTGGTATCTTCCTGTAGCAATAACATCATGTCTTCACAATCTGAACTTTTCTTTGGTAAGACGAATCCGCATTTACCCTTCGCAAATGCCTTGTGCATAAAGTATCCTAACAGAGCTATCTGACTCATCCGAACTTGATTCTAACTTTGTTCAATCATGCTTGCCTCACATTGAAAGGTTCAAAATTATCTGAATGACACGGATGTTTGTTGAAAACCATGTTTTTTAACAGAAGCGGTCAATGTCGGTTCGAGGTATTCTGCAGTTTTTGTATTTATCAACATTAATAGAGCAATCATAGTAGTACATAGAAATTATGTTCCTTCATTTCTGACCTGAGAACTGACAGATTGAGAACGTTCACTAATTGTTGCATTTGCAGCTCATAACAAACGACCAGTTTAAGAGCGTTGAGCACCGAGTCTGGCAAACAAAAGAGGCCCAAGAGTGTTGGTGGCATGCTTCTTCGGCGACAGTCCTTGGTCATCTTCAAGGCTGTATGGACCCATCGAGGAATTAACATCAGCAGACAACCCACGAATCTAAAAGGAGACTATGCTTCCAAACTACACTGCCCATTACATTTTAAACAAAAGAAGAACGAAAAAGAGAACACAACTCTAAAAAACAAAGATCATTTTCTAAGCAAAAGCAGAACCAAAAAGAGAACACAAAATAGAGGGAGAGGAAGATTAACACATATCCCTTTAAAATCAAAAGAAAGATGCTATCTTTAGATTGGATACTCATATGACGGTTAAAACACTAATCTATCACGAGAAAAAAATTGCGCTTTCAAGAACATTTACGTTTGGTTCAGCTTTGGATTTCAACTTTGTATATTAACGGCAGGATAAAAAGTGGAATTCTTGCCAGCCTTCAACTTGCTCAACAGAATCAACCGTAAGGCAAAAATCTATGTACACTTCCTGGATTTTCTATGAAACAGCAGGTTTCCATTACGCCGCGACATATTTGAAACCTAATTGATGTAATCGAGTCAGCATTGCATTAGGACGACGCAACAATTGATCCAAGAGCTAAGATGACATCGAATCGTCCTGTCATGTATCGATGGTCAACTCTGTCCTAACAGATTTCTTTTCCATAAACAGCAAAACTTGTGTACTAGACGCACGGTCCCCCAAAGAATCAGCCACTGTTAAACAGCAATTGTCATTTTCTCAGCAAGTGGTGGTAACTCATGAGCTAATGACTTTCTCCTTCCATTTTTACGAACCGCATGATTCTAAAGTCAAAAGGAACCTCGCAATGGATGTCATTGTTCTCTTCTCTTCTCTAAATCAATCAGCTACAAACAAGCTGCTCATCATATCATGCAATGCAATGTCTCCATAACACTCAATTCATAATCCAAATGTCTCCAAAACATTCAATTCATAATCCAAACTCATCCCCAACAAATATACATTCACAGTGAAAATTGAATTGCAGTAGAGAGAGAGAGAGAGAGAGAGAGAGAGAGAGAGAGGAACAATGCCTCCCATCGATTTGGCCTTCGACTCCGGTGAGCAGAGCCACGACAGAGCAAGCGACGACTCGAAAGCCAGCGTCAAAGGCCTCGTCGACACTGGGATTACCGAAATCCCCAGAATTTCTTCATCCGACCGGACAAGACATCCGAAGGCAGCTCCGAATCGAGCGGCGGATCCGAGAATCTCAGCTTCCCGATCATCAACCTCGGCGGGATCGACCGCGACCCGGCCAAGAGGAAGGAGGCAATCGAGAGGATGCGACATGCATCGGAGACGCTGGGGTCCTTCCAGGTGGTGGCGAATCAGGGAGTTCCGGCGGCCGCGATGGAGGAGATGAAGAAGGAGGGAGTGAGGAGGTTCTCCACGAGCAAGACGGCGAGGCAAAGGTGGCGAAGGTGGTGGTACAAACAGCAATTTCGACCTATACAATAGACAGCGTTGGTGGCGAACTTGGTAGTGAAGAGAAATTAGTTAAATAATAAAGAAGGTGTGATAGATAGTCTTTTCTCGTACCTCTCTACTAAAGCTCATGGTTACAATCAATCCTCCCAAACGATGACCGGAATGTGCGGGATCTTTGGCCGATCTTCACGGCCATCTGTTAGGTACCTCTCTTTCAGAGTTGGACAATGAAGGATTCTCAATTCCTTCAAGTGTGTGAGGTTCCGCATCCCAAATGGCAAACGCTTTAATTTCGTACAGTCAGATAATACAAGCTTTTCGAGCAAAGAGAAATTTCCAATCCATTCCGGCAAACTCTTTAGATTCCAACAGTCAGAAATCTCGAGAGATTGCAAAGTCGTGACATGTTGAATTCCCCAGGATAATGCCACCGAGTTCATACTCCCTGTGATTTTAAGAACACGAAGTTTTGTAAGGAATCGCCATTGGGTGCCATGCGTATATTCTTGGCACAATATATCGAGTCCTTCACAATAAATAATGTCGAGTTTCTGGAGCGAGGAAAGGTTCTGCATGCTACGAGAGAGACCACCAGTTGCAAAAGTAGAGGCCCATGGACTCGAGATTACTTGGTAATCGGAGTAGAGTCTCGAGCATCGAGGGCTCCACATCACTATCATTAAGAACTAGACTCTTTAGTTTAGAGAAAGGGATGAATGTGGATCCCATTGCTGCTTCTGATGGGCAATTTGGATTGACCATCAATTGTTGTTCCAATATTTTCGTGCTATTTGTGAACAAGTATTCCACCTGGGGGAATGGTGGCATGAAATTCAAGTGGGGACAACCCCTTATATTCACGGACCAAAGTTTTGGGAAGGATGACAGTGAATTGTCTGACCGATGCTTTTGATATGCTCCCATTACTTGCTTTCTTCCCCACCATCCTTTCAGGCTGCTGCAGAAGCAAAGGGATAGTTTCTCAAGAGATGGGAAGAAGGGGCGTGTAGTATCAGATTGTTCTGGGTCACTTGTTTGTTGAAGGAACTCCAACGCATCCAAGCTCCAGAGAATCAACGTCCGTAGGGAAGGGACTTCACTCAGGGGTGGTAGGTGGCTCAGTGAGTCACAGCCACTAATTTTGAGGTACCTAAGGTTGACCAATTTCCTCAAATCTCTTGGAAATGTTTTAAGGTTCTCACATTTAATGAGTTCGAGGATCTGCAAGCTCACCAAATCCGTGATTGAATCCGGCAAACTCTGGATAGATTTGTTTGCAGAAATATTAAGAAACCTTAAGTGCTTCAACTTTCCAAAGGAGGAAGGAGGGAGCGGAATATCTGTATTACCCAAACCCAACGCTCGACAATGTTTACACCCGGAAAAAACTTTGGGAGAGTTGACTACAGAGGATTCACCTTCCAAACAGAGAAACGTCCGCAATTTGGATGTTTTGAGCAGGCACACCATTTTCTCTTCAGAGAAACTCTTCGAAATAATCGACGCATGTCTAATTCCTCTATCATTATCTCCTCCTTTAAAATTAACACTCTTGCATTCACCTCCGGCAACTTTTTGGGCAAGATCGTGCATGAGATCATGCATCTTGAAAGTTAGGACCTCGTCATCGTCTTCTTTGCGTGCAGCATCGAGGAATGACCTACACAATAGTTCCGACAAGTAATTGTCAGCGACGTCTTCAAGGTTATCCTCCCCGTTGAGTGACTCAATAAAGCCTTGTGCCATCCAAAGATGTATCATCATCTCTTTATTGTAGACATAGTCTTTCGGAAACAATGAGCAATATGCAAAACAATGTTTTAAGCATGACGGGAGATGATCGTAACTGAACTTGAGGACTTGCATAATTCCATCATCAACCTCATCAATTTCTGCTATTTCTGGAAGTTCACGCACTTTGTAACGGCGCCATTCATCTTTATTTTTGCCGTACAAAAGGCCTCCTATAGTTCTAATGGCAAGGGGAACGCCGGCGCATTTTTTAACTATATCTCGACCTGTCTCCTCCAGTTCTGGGTCCGATGATTCTACCCCATCTCCAAAAGCCATTTTCCTGAATAAGTTCCACGACTTATCTTCAGATAAGCCATTTAGAACATGGATAACCGATTTCGCATCCGTAACCTTTGCAACTTTGTGGCTACGAGTGGTTACAAGTATCTTGCTTCCCCGTAAACCGCCCTCTAGCCAATCTCCAAGCTTCAACCAATTATTCCGATCTTCATTCCACAAGTCATCCAAAACAAGCAAGTATTTCAACCTGCCTAGAATCTCAGGAAGAAGACTTGGCAATTGGTCTATAAATTTCTCTTGAAGTCGACATTGGTCGAACAAAAGCCGAGTGCTACATGCAGAAAGGCATGTAGGACTTGTGAGATTCGATTGTGGCATGTCGGCCAGTGACAGTAGCTTTCGAGTCTATGTCCAGTTTAATCAATTCGATCCAAACAAGTCAAAAATACAATCTTATGCAGGTTGGCAACTTGACATTCGTCCTCTACTTGAAAAGTTGTACCGCTACGGAAATTTCTAGAAAGTACAATTTTGTGTATAGTCGTCGTCCATCGGTTGAGATTTGATAGTTAATCCACCTGTTTGTCAAAGAGTGTTGTAGTGCAGGAGTGTCCAGACATAATAACCTTTTCATCTCATCATCATGCTCTTGACAGTTGTCTTTCGCATTCACGTTAAAGACATCAGATACACACACCCACATCTTAAGCCCAAAATGTTCTTTTACCTCCCCATCGTTGTACACTAGTCGCGCAAGTGCGGTTTTTCCAAGACCTCCTTTACCAACGATGGCAACAAATGACACACTCTGGCTAGAGGAGGAATCAAACAAAAGTTGTTTGATCTTTTTTTTGTCCTCTTCCCTACCAATTATTTTTCCATCAGGTGAGGGAACTTCAGGTTTCTTTCCTCTCCCGATTGTTTCCTCGCTCAGATGCTGCTCTAAATTTGATAACTCCTTATCACTTTTAATCCGATCTAGTTCCTTCCTAAGTTCCCGAATCTTATTAGCCACTCTGAGGCGGTGTGCAAGCTGATTCGATTTAGAGAAGAAAACGCGTACCGCTTTCGACATCTTGTTGCCGGAAGTGACCTTCCACCTCAGATTTTCGGTTGCGACATCATCGAACAAGTCCTGTACGTCGTACAGCACGTCCTTGAGCCTCCTGAGCCAGAGCTTGACCTGGTTGTCGTGCCATTGCTTCTTCTCGGCATCCAAAAGCACAGCTTGGATGGTCTGGACGGTGTCCTCCAGGCTTTTGAGCTCGTCCTTGGCACCGCAGAGCAACTGGATCTCCTGAGAAGCGAAGGAGCCTCCAGGTTTCGCAATTTCGGTGGCGATGCTTTCCAGTATGGCGGTGGCAATGCTGAAGAGAGCAGCTTCCGCCATTTCCAAAAAGGCAAAAGCAAGGGGTTGAGGAGTGTTTGAGAGGAGGTTGCAGAGGTGATGCTTTTGTTGGGAGACGATGGTTTGGTGGTGCCTCGTGATTAACTTCATGCAATAATATATAGCAAGGCCAACGGCATCTCCATCTTACTTTATGCTCAGTCGCTCCACTGGATGATAAAAGAGAAAAAGACGCGTGGGGTCGACAAAACAGGGACTAAAGAAAGAAAGAAGGAAAGACCAAAAGCCTATGAGTCAAAAAAGCAGGTTGCCTCTGTATGTCTCGAGATAATTTTCGTACTTTTTCGTTTTTCATTGTCATCTGAACATGAAAAAGTTTTGACAAAGCCGTTTGGTCCCGTATTGAGAGCAGTTTCCAAACGAAAACCCAAATGCGCACAAATAACTTTATTGGAAATGGTTAAGCAAATGTATAAATTTTCCTCATAATAACTTTATTGAGAATTGGGTAACATAAATGAGCCTTGGGATAAATACGTAAGTTCATTCCGATCCGTGCAGCATAAATGAGCTCTATCCCACGGAATGATAAAAACTTGTAATAGCTTTCTTGCGTAGAAATGAAAATTCTTATCCAAAGAATAAGAGAAATAAGTGACTACTATTTCACTAGATCACCTTACCAATATTGACAAGGGTCAACATGCCATGTCTTGAAAACCCTCATTTTATCTTTTGTACTAGAATATTAATTCCTTTCGTTTTTCTAAAAATTTGATATTACACCTCGCTTAGTCTTTTTTTTTTTTTTAATTTTTCAACACATGTAGCACTCTCTATAGATATCAATTCATAAAAATACCTTTTCGAAGTAAAGTGTAAACGATTTTATATACATATGTCAAGATATTTGAGATATCGAGGATCCTTATTTCAATCAATGAGAAAATAACTCCATAATGACCTTTATATGTTGGAATACATGTAAAATTAAGAGTTGGGAGACTTATCAAAATGATTAATTTCGGGGTCATCCATGCTTTGTGACAATAAAACCAAAGAGATAATTTAGTGAATGACATCACATGTTAATTCTAAATGTTTCGATGACTCGATTAGTAAAAAGAGATAATTAATAAATTATGTTTCTCTTTTGCACATAGGGAATTCATGAACGTTTAGACATATTCTCAAGCAATCTGTTACTATATTTACGGGGAATTAAAGAAGCTAGCTATGGTTTCTGTCCATCAGAAATTCAAGGAGCAAACCGAATCTCCCAAATGCTTTTTAATGCAAAAATGAAATAAAAGTTTGAGAACTAAAATGGATAAGTGGCACAAGGATTCCTATCATCATTGTCCTACTGATTGTAAATTTCTAACAAAATAACCACGCAACGTGATTAGGTTAATCGTGCAAGATGTGTAATTGATGCGAAATATTCCAAATGTAAACGAGTCAAAGTACTGGAGTAGGCTACTTGTCGGTTCCATCGTTGTATTCCAAAATGGACGACCAAACGGGGGTTGCTCCCCCTTCATTTAGAGAAAAAAAAATCAATTACTCATGCCATGTCAGGTACTCACTCTTTCAAAAGAATAAAAAGAAGAAGAAGAAGAAGAAAGAGTAGTAGCTTAACATGTCAAGAACATAAATATTTTTTTATTAATATATGCACAAGGAACGAAATGTTGCCGCGTTGATTTTCATGTAATGCAACGAGAAGTTCATCGTAACATGGCCCCTTAGCCCACGCAGGAGTGCCTATTCCCATTTCTTTTCTTCAAAACCGTGTCAGTCTGTACCCTTCACTATCATAGAGAATCGGATGCCCTCAGTTTCTCCGTCGTCTTCTGTCGACCGTCATGTGCATGAAAATTGAATAGGCTTACTGCTGTGGACGATTGAAGTGAACTCCCGACAACTTTGGGACTGCCGTGGAGGTCTTTCACGCCACCCCAACATTTGCATATATTATATTTCCACGTTCCAATGAAAATGAAAACAAAAAACTCAATAATAATTTTCTAAAATCGAAAAAGGGGTACCTGCTTTGCTTTTGTCGCATCTTTTTGCACATGCTTGATCTTCTTATTGTTCAATTCCATTCCCACTTGCCATTATTTGATTTCCTACCATTAACATAACAACAAACGAGGCGTCAGGTTTCGACTTTCGTGCATATGGAACCGCTGTGGACCATCATTACTCTGGTTTTTTCTTGTAATGTTTATCATGGTCTCCTCCCTTAATTTGACTAATGCGTCCTCTTTTTGGTGGTGCCTCGTGATAAAACTCCGCGGACGAATATATATAGCAAGGCACGGCATCTCCATGTCACTTCATGCTCGGTCGCTCATTATAAAGTTCAGTCAACCAGATCCGAAATGCTCTCCCCGAAAAGAGAGTTGGCAAAATCCGACCAGATCCGAAATGCTCTCCCCGAAAATAGATCCAATCCCACCCGAGTTGACGAAGAAAAATCGGCCACTTGTGACCAACTCGAAACCCCAAACCAACCCACATGCCCACCGTCCACACACTTTTGTTCAAGCCCTCTAACTTGTTTTTCTTTTGCTGATAAAGACGAAATCGCTATTCTCTTGCCATCATATCCTCCCAAGCGTTAGTGTAAATTTCTCCACCATCACGTGGATATGGATATGTTATTCTTGGCTTGACAGATTTAATTGATAGTTATTGAAACTGTGTCTTTTGGGTGTAAATTAACAAAATTTCACATTAAGCATTCGTACGTGTCGTAAAAAAGGAATCATATAGACAATATTTTCCTACTTACAATAAGAAAATATTTTCATCCTCAACCTTTTATACTTAAAGTTATATGAGAAATGCCTATGTGACAATCCTTAATTTACTGTGAGATTGACAGCTTTAGAAATTGTTGTGGGATCCACTCCTTCGAAAATTTGTGGCTCATAACATGATGTTAGTCTCACAGTAGCCCAAAGACTGTTATGCTAGCAAAACCTAAGTTGTATTCGTAAATTATATAAACGATCATTTTTTATGAAAGTATTTTCCAAATAATTGATTTTAATCAACAATTTATGATTAACATTTTCGTCGACGAAGAATATATTTTTCAGTCTTTCCTTTTATGTAAATTGTACAAACGATCATTTTTTTTTTATTTTTTGCGAAACATATGCTTCCCGAGAGACTATATCTTTCCAAGTTTTCCTAATCACCATGAAAATATACACATTAATGGGGTTTCTATTTCTGTCACTGTTATAAACCAAGTCGAATTCTTACTATATAGTTGTTCAAAATGACTTTATATTTTTGGACCTCTACAGTACGATAAGATAAATTTCCTTTTTTGGATGATAAGAAGGGTATCCAAACTTTTGGCTCGACTATTTTCCATGAATGCATACAGAACGCTTCCTTCCCGTGGCAAAAGACGAAGGAAAAGCAAGAATCATAATTACCGTCTGTAACTCAGTAGAAAAGCTGAAGTTAAATGTCACTTCACCCAAAGATTCACACCTGTTCTGATTCTGTCAGCAAAAAAAGAAAGAGAGGGCGAAGAAATTACTTAACGACGAGCTGATCGATTTTTCTATACCTTAATCTGTAACTCAAACAGGAAAAGCTAAAGGCCAACCACTGAGATCCGCATATCCACTGTTATGTTCTATAACATTTTGCTTCCGACTCCGAGCAAATGAAGTGACAAACACAGACGAAGATATGCTCTAGCCGAGGGCACCAGAAATTTGCATAACGAGAAGAGGTTTCTGCTGCTCAGAGCTTGTGACACCAGAACGCTCAATTACCCGAAAACGTTGGAGCTTATGACACCAAAACATAAACGTAGCAGCAAAACTGAAACACAATCTTTCTGTAATAAAGGTGAAGTACTCCCTCTCTCCCGCTCTATCTCCCTCTGTTAGCTAGCCTATATCGCCGTTTTGGTGAACTTCGAGCTTTTTCCCATCTTAAAATTATAGTTTTGCAGATGATAAAGAGACCGCTTCCCATGTTTTAAAAGCTTTTGTTACTTCTGGGACAAACACATTGTTTGTACCAATTCATTGATCTCCTCATGCTAGACAACACAGCCTCGTCTTCTCTCTGCCACTCCAAGATAGCCATCGCTTCTTGAGATGAAGAAGTATGTGTACACATGAGAAACATTGTCTGGGCAAGAAACTGATATTCTTGGAAGAACAAGTTCAGAAGAATATAGGACTTTCAAGCACTGACCGATGACCTAGGATTCGACTTAAATACACTTTAAGTAGAAAACTAAAACATTGTAGATCGAATTGTCGTTCCAACCCAGTTCCTTAGTTTAATAGTGCTGGTGCAAATCTATCCATGAAGAAAGTTGGCACTTGGTTCATAAACTATGTGAACCAACCCTACATCAATCATTAATTATGAAGGTCTCAACAACACGGGATTGACATGATCATCGGTTGAGATGGACTTGACATTGGAGCTATGTGCTTTGAATATTCAGGTATATTGCATATAATCTCCTAAAGCACTTGCACCTAGTGGCTTGATTCTATGACATAGTCAATTATTGAAATTATTTTTGCATATCAAAGCTACGACATAATACGAATATGAAAAGTAACAAACTAGCCAGCAAGCTCGTATCACGCTTGGGTTTACTTTCTGCTAATGTAGGCATTCCCTTTCCGATCTGTAACACCAGATGTTTGCCACTGCCAAACTCACAGCTTGAACATCTGCAGAGCCGAAGTCTCATCGCCTCTCGCGCTGTAGCGGGAAACATACTCCATGATGGTGGTTTCTCTGTACTTTGGTGGATCGCCCTCCGAAATCAACTCCTTGATGGGTCCGTACAGTCTTGGAGATGGCGATGCCGCCGTGTAAAAGAAGCACGCCACAGACACTCTCGGCCCCACGTTGTTGGCCAAAACTCTATGCTCGGCGCTCTTGAATATGTCATTGGAGATAAGCTGAAAAAAATGCTCCGGTTCGTGATTAGAAAGTGAACACAACTGCCGGATAAAGAGCTCAGGCTTAAAATGCTTTGCTTGTGATTTATTGATGTGCCTAACAGGGTCTCTAGTGATAAGACGTGGGGAGAGAGAGAGTATGTTAGGTGAGACTTGCCTGAAGCAGATCTCCGATGTTAACTACCAGAGCTCCTGGCACGGGGCTCACA